TTTTCGTGAACTTGCTCAAATTTAAATAAGACTGTTTGTTCGAAGATACCGAGAGCCGGGACACGCAATTTCTGGTCTCTGCACTGCAGATTGAGTGTAATGCATAACTAAGGTAATTCGGTATGAGCAGGGAATGGCTGTGTTTGAAATAAATGAGGAAGAAGCAACTGGGTGACTCCCAAAAATGACAAAAAGGCGTCTCAAATCAATCATCAACAAAATTTTGTGTCGTAGCTTGTCAATTCCACGAAGTGACACATTTGAAACTCAGGGTAGAAAGAAAACTTCAGTAAAATTGATAGCAAGCAACTAATGCGAATATATAAGATTCACGTTTACTCGTGCGAGTTTATCTGAGTCGAGGGCCAAATGACATTAACTCGCGCGAGTTAATTTGAGGCGAAAGTCAATTCACACCAGGGATCCTAAGAAATATATTTACAGAAAATATGTTTTAAATTTAAGAAAATAACTTACTTTATGGTCTGGCACAATTTGATTTTTTTTTAAGAATTCTGTGCGTTCTTTCTCGAAATTTATTGTCCTTGTTGGACAGCCACCAGAATTTCGCTGGCTCTGGGACCGATGCCCTCAAACTACTAAAGTGCAGGCTTGCGCCCGTTTTTAAAAGGCCCCCTCACTTTGAAACTGGCGACCTGTCAATGTAGAGCTTAATACCTTCTCAACACTCGAGGAGCAAGTTCTCCCCGAAGCCATAAATTTGGTAACACGATCACGTTCTGATGCAGATATTTATTTTCCACAGTCGCAGCACAAGTTATTTATTTGCAGATTTCCGATCTACCATACAGGTATCTATTTTCATTAGACGAAGAAATCCATATAAATTATATTATGAGGTACCCTAATTCACATTAACGCTAATGTGAGTATTGGTGAAAGATATCAATGCCACGTGGTGATACAACCCTGGGTAACGGAAATCCCAGCCTGTGCATATACATGTATATCCCTATTTTCTAAAGATTTGCAGTCTTAATAAACAACTCGAGTTCAATAAGGGCGATCTGTGAATAAGTTTGGGGGCTCTGTGATTCCGAATTCGCAACATGTAGCCAAAGCTATTAAGCTGCAGGATTTCATGGGCGCCTGGGGTTAAGTTGGAGGACAGGTAAAGACCCCTACTTATCGGAAAATACTATATCGTTAATAAAAACGATGAACCACCGATATCGTTTCTTCTCGTTTTTATCTAGATATTATCGGTATGGGCAAACTATCAGTCTTTTATGATTAGAATAAATTACTCGCAGTTCGAAAAATTGTATTGGGAGCGCCCAAAAAGTTTAACACTTCGCATCGCCCTCGTGACAGTAACTTTTTCCAATTTTGATGAGTCCTTCGTGTAGTAATTACACTTTTCACCAGCTAATATAATAAAGAATGAGATATGGTGTTTTACTAATGATTTTTAATTAATCTTTTTTATCTTAGTAATTTAATGTTGAATATTTGTATTACATGTATGTTCGACAATATATTGCTAAAATAAAAAGGATTTGTAAGTTGTGCCAGAAAGAAAATTTAAGCACTATTCAATATATTAGCTGATTCCTTGAAATATATTATTTCTAAATTCATGCTACGTAGTATTACCAATTTGGAATTTTGCGCATTACAGTATCAGGAAATTCTAAACTGCCTTAAACTAGTCGCTCGCGCCACTGCGCAATCCAAAGCCACGACTTTGGAATTCAGTTTTTCTTTTTTTTAGTCAATTAGCCCAACTGCATTCCATGCTTGTTGCGTTCTTCATCCTTTCATAGCGCAAGAATTAACTATTGTGCACATGTGCTGTACTCACTTCCGATAATGTTGGATCACTTTTAATGAGAATCAAGCGGTTCTCCAATTTAAAAGTCCGTGTCAATATCGCATCCACATCGGTGTTAGACATAGAAAACTGAAGTAAAACTCACTATTGCAGTGTTCAAAAGGTATTGGCGACCCCGTCGGGGTCTTTATCCTGGGAAATAGAAAGCATTTGCCACTCTCTTGCTAAACGGGTCTTTCTTTTCCAGCATGGCAACAACTGAAGAACGTGCCCCTTGCTCCCTCCATTTTTTAAATTGAAGATCTTGCAAGTCAGTGATAAATCGCTTCGTGCTCTCAGTGTCAGCGTGCTTCTTCGATTTGGCTATCATCCGAGCGAACTGAGCATCTCCATATTGTTTCTCCAGATGAGTGATATGCAAGAATGGGTCCGGATTCTTCTTTATGTTGCTCAGCTTCTGCACGTACGCAACCCAAGTGCTTAGTTATGGGCTCTCCAAGACCTTGTTTCCCTTCTTGTTCAATATAAGAAGATTGAACACATCTTCTGAGGTTCTCCCGTTCATCCACCAAACGTCTGGCTCCAATTTTGCAGCGATTTCTCGATTACTATCGGACTCTTTTGCCCTCGCAACCATGTTCGTCAATGCTTCATCTCCAAATTCTTTTCTATGCACTGTGAACATTGTCTTGACTGAGTACGAGTCTCCGTTTCTTTTGAGGTAAGACACCCATGTACTCCACACTGGACTCTCAAACCGTTTTTCACGCTCTTTATTGAGGCCAAGCAATGCGAAGAGCTTGTCACCACTTTTCCGTTCGCTTGACCATTTATCCATCTGCAGTTTCTCCACTTATGCAGCCAAGTGCCCCGTGTTGATGTCTTGCTTCGCAGTACCGATCATCTTTGCCAATGCTGCTTCGTCGAAACCGTTGCTCTTAATCGCAGAGAAGAGCAGCTCAGCTGGGTCCTTTTTCGCCATTCTCACGTAAGAAGACCAAGTGCCTAACGCTGGATTTGTTAGAAGAGTAGTGCCTTCCTTGTTCAACTTCAGAAGGTTGAACACGTCGATTATACTTTTGTCATTTTCCCTCCATTTCGCTAGCTGCAGCCAGGCCTCGGACAATACAATACGAAATTGTACTGCAAGACATCGAGTCCCATAATAATAACGGGAATATGATGAAGTACAATAATAATAACGGGGCCAATATAAGTATATTGTGGCCTCTAACTACCAAGGCTTCCTACTCATTGGCGACGAGCGAAGTCGCGTTCCACATGTCGCGGTTCACGCGAAGAAATGCTAACATCTCAAAGTTTGCAGAAAGCATGCATGACCGCTGAGGCGTCAGAATGAGCTTGCACTGCGATAACAGTCTTTCAACTGTGTTCGAGGTGGGCGGCACCACCTTTGCCAGCTCATGAAAGCTCACACCCGCAGCACCAGCCGCTCGCATCTGCTCCCCCCCCTCGTAGAATTGCGCTGGCGTAATCGCTCGTCGAGCGCTCCTTCCTCTTACCAGTTGCAGCATCTGGCTCCACCACCAATCGCTGGACTGCGCGCGACTCAGACGCAGTGAGCTTCGCATTGTTGCAAATCTTGACCAAAGCTGCCTCAAAGGCCGGCGCATGGACGATCTTCGCCGCCGGACGCAGATGGCTCGCCATAACTGGGTAGTCGTCAACAACCTGGTCAAACAAAACACGCACGTCCGCCATGCTGGTGTCCTCGCGCTGGAGTGCCTTGCAGACACTATCGAGTTTCTTGAGGTGCTCTAGCAGGCCGAGAAGCTTCTTGTGGGCCGCACCTTTTGGGATGAACTCGTCAACAGCATCAACCTGCCGACTAGAATCTCGAATTTTCTTATAGCGGTCCACCATTGCGAATGTCGAAGACCAACGGGTAACATTCCGTTTGACAGGGTTAAGGTCCGTGAATTTTGAGAGTTCCGCAGCACTGTTCACGTGTCGTAGCTGCACCATCAGACTGTTAACTGCAGCGAGCTCCGGCTCATAAGCAGCTAAGTAGCGATTCACCGCAAGGTTGTACCGGTGACTTGCACAGCCAACCAGTGGCAACTCCACCAACGTAGCGATCCGCTGATTGGTCGCGCATTTGTCGGCTACCAGAAAAGCCACCATAGAGATGTCCTTGTTATACAGCGTCAGCACGCGCTTGAACATCTCGATGTGCACTTCAGCATCTTGGCTGCCGTCCTCCAGCGGTGACAGCGACAGCAGTCGCTCACGGCGCTTGCCGTCTGCGTAGCAAACACCGTAGATACCGACGTAGTGTGTGGTACCGTGCGTCCATCCATCCCACATGACACCAAACAGCTTGCCCAACTCGCTTTCGATCAGCACACCAACGCTCTCGGAGCATTTCTTCATGTCTTCCTTCAACGTCTTGGACGAAACGGGCTTCCAGGACGACATGGACCTTGTGAGGTGGTTGTCGACCTCGGAGACGGGCATGTGCCTCTCTACGACCCACTGAAGCCACTGATAGCGATGCTGAGTCGCCTCGGACACGAACCCAAAGTTGGACAGTGGGGCGTCCGTAGCCGCAGATGCGCTGTAGGTCTCGTTGAAGTCGGGGTGCGTCAGGTTGAGGTGGGACATCAGGTTCGAGTACCCGGTACCAGTTTGCTGCTTGCGGTAAGAACCGCAAAGCTGACAGCGGAAGTCGCCTTGGCCCTTGTCTTCGTAGAAGAATGCGCAGATATCACGGTTCGGAGCCATCGTGGTCAAATGAAAAGTGAGGGAGTGCTGTGAGGCTTCGGCTCGTGCTCGTGTCTGTGCCTGCCAGCCAACCACTTGAACGATTGGCGCGAAGAGCTAGTTGCCTCTAACATATTGGTATAAACCGGTATTGTACTGATATTATTGGATCAATATCATATTATATTGACTTTGGACAGATCCAATAATAATAATTGTAGCCGGATAATACAGTAATTACGGGATTGATATTATTTTTTCCCACCCCTGGCTGCAGCATCTCCAATCTCTCAGCTATCGCTCTCGTAGTAGCGTCATTTTTTGACAAAGCAAGCATTTTTGCTAGACCTACCCTCGTCGTAACGTGGTCGCATCTTAAATAGCAGCAAGTCATATGGGTCTTTTCCTAGCTTTGACGCGTAGGTCATCCACGGAGCAAGCTTAGGGCTTTTCAGAATATTGCTACCTTCCGCATCAAGTCTTAGGAGTTTGTAAACGTCGTCTGCAGATTTCCGTCATCCATCCAGTTTTTTAGCTTGTAACTCGTTAACTTGGTTTGTGCGCCTCCAGCAATCTGTTGCAGTTTTTTCGTTTCCGCTTGAGTAAGATCTTTTCGCTTCGTAGCACCTGGAAATGCTCTGTCTTCGTAGTCTTCGCTACCATTAACCGTAGTGCTTCTCAAGCGGCGAGTAACTCGCATGCCAGTCAAAGTTACGTCAAGATCGAGGGGTGCAGTCGTAGGAAAAGAGGATTCCGTAACTTGCGATGCCACACAAACGTAGTTCAGTAGAGCAGCTGCCAAAACCAAGGCCCAGTAAGTAAACGTTAAGCGTGTGTACTTGGGCCCCATAGCGAGAATTGAGGGATCGACAGCGAATTTGGAAGTGAGCGATTCACGTGAACCAAAGCTTCGTGGACCTTCGCGAGCTTGTAGCACTAGTGCAAGCATTTTATCTTTAAGAAAGAGTGCAGTTTGTCACGTGTTGCATTTTTATAGCCGGCTATAAAAGCTGCGAAAAAACTACTTCCATTGGAAGTTCCAAGTACATGAACTTGCAACTGGACGACAAAAACACACTGTCGGGAGCCATTTAAACTATCGCTCTAAAGAGGGACAAAGTTGTTTTGCTTTGCTATAAAAATAAGCGGAATCGGAATGATTGAAGCTCCAAATATTAGAAGACCAAATATTTGAGATTAATAGACCGCTTTAACACAGCTCTCGAAGTTCCAAAATGATGTAATGTACGCGTCAGATTGTTTAAGTGCGTCGGCGGTATCGCTGCCCGCGTGAAAAGGCTCAGAACACTTGCGCAACCGGTATTAATGTTATTCTTAAAATAAAAAAAGTACCGATTGTGCATTTAAAAAAAACATGCGTATATAAGTATAAGTATTGCTCACTTCAACCAGTCTATTTACTATAGAAATTTATATGTTAGTTTCTGGACTACCACAAGACTCTGTAGCAACAATTGTCAGAAAAGAACGAGCTGCGAATTCCAGCGGACAACGCGATTCTTCGGTAATTCACTGTAACCTAAAGAATTGGAACATCCGCTATTAATCTATCCGTTATTTATTCTGATTTTATCTAGAATGTCGCTGTTCCAAAGCTGGGATCTATCTGCATAGCCACAGCTCAACGAAATCTAGCCACCAAAATAGTACTGTATAACATTACCAATCCAAACGTTTCATAGAAACGAGATTAATCTCTTTAATTTATTTTAGAGCTAGGGGGGATCCGATTGTTGCTTCAATTTTTGGCACATAATAGCCTGCGTTTTTTATATTCTTGTATAGTCATGAATTTGTGAATGGCCAATACAAATTACCGTCAAAGAGCACAGTGATGGTAATGAACATCTACAGTTAAACCCGTACTAAATGATAAGCCCCGTGAGCAGACGCGGTATTGTTTATAATAGTATTATCAAGTTATACAGCAGCTCCCACTACCACCGCTTTCTTCCATGTGTCTTGACCTTAAGAGCTTCCATTCCCCAATCCGCAATTCCGCGCAAGACTATGGACGTCTGTAACCTCACATTCGAGCTGAAAGGAAGATGTGTACAAAGCGTCCATGCTTGTAAAGAATCCGGTTCGACCAACAATTTCCGGTATTTTGACTGTTTCAGAGCGCTTTCTGAATGCCTCGGATACCGAGTTACAGTCTTGGCGAGCTTCGACGGTCCTGCTCCCGGCTAGACCGAGCCCTAGATAACTGGGTGCTGTAGTGTCAGACCCGAGGCGTCGTGTTGGACGGCAACCTCGTAAAAGCAAAAGGAGCACGATTACTGGACAACATGGGAGTCAGTGGATATGATAGAATAGCCTTTTTCAAATGGCTGGCAGCATAATCGGCATGGATTCCGAAACTTTAAAGCACAAGTTGGAAGCGGGTCCATTTAAGTCGATGGCCTACCAGCTCTATTGGAAAGTATTCGCGCTGAACTTAAAAATGGTGCACACGCCGATGTGTATAACTTTGACGGGACAGGTTTTTTTTAATCTGTCCGGACAGAGCCGTCGCTAGTATGCAGATCGCAGGGGCCAAGAAAAACAAGACACGAATTACACTAGCTCTGGCATAAAATGCCGACGGTTCGGATTTGCGAGAACATTTCTTCATTGGCCACGAATTCAAGCCAATGTGGTTTACGAAGAAAAAAAAGGAGAAGAGTTGGATTTTTCGTACCGCAATGATAAGAACGTCTGGATGGCTGGAGTCTTATTCAGGGAATGGCTACACCAGTTTGACTGTGACATGGACAAGTAAAAAGTCGTCAGCGCCAACGCCGACACCGACAGGCTCAAAGACAACACTGACAATGCCAAGGAAGCCAACGAGGGAGAGAACGCCGACGTCAAAAGCAAGTGTGATGGTGAACAACAAGAGACAAGTACGCTAATTCAGCTATTCGAATATATTGCTTGTTACGTTGCCTGAAAATACGAATTGTTACTGTTCTAAACTACAAGGTTTTGAAGCTTCCATTCTACGCTTTGTGCAAACTGCGCGAGACGAGGCTGAGAAAGCTGCGCGAGACGAGGCTGAGAAGGAGGCTGCGAGCAGTCATACAGCTGTTGAAGACGGCATGAAGCCGGTATCTGGGCAGGGGCACCTTAAAACAATCAATGATGCCACGGAAATCACTGTCGCAAACGGCACAGCGGATGCCAATACTGCGAATCGTGACGCGGGCGGGACCGTACAACAGAAAGACAACCTCAATGAAACCAGCCAGGAAATCACTTCGCGTACGTTTGCATTTGTGCTGCTTGTGAGCTGAGAAAGAGGCTGCGAGCAGTCATACAGCTGTTGAAGACGACATGAAGCCGGTATCTGGACAGGGGCACCTTAAGACAATCAATGATGCCACGGAAATCACTGTCGCAAACGGCACAGCGGATGCCAATACTGCGAATCGTGACGCGGGCGGGACCGTACAACAGAAAGGCAATCTCAATGACACCTACCAGGAAATCACTTCGCGTACGTTTACATTTGTGCTGCTTGTTATGTTGTTGCGTATGTTGTTGGTTACGTTGCTGCGAATGTTGCTGACTATGTTGCTCACTATGTTGCCTATGTGTTGCTGTATATGTTGCTAGAAATATTTTTGCTTTATTATTTAAGGCTCGAGATCTGAAGAAAAGCACACACAAAAAACGGGTCCGCTTCCGGATCGACGAGCCAGAAATGAGTATAGACCCGACAGCTAGTAAGACTAGCAAAAGTACAGATCCCGTTTCCAAGCCGATTTCGCAAGTCCACACAGCTCGCAAGCCTACACGTCGAGCGAAAACTTGGCAGCTTCGGGAAACCATGGAGAAGTCCCACACATTAGTGACTAAGTATGTACCGGAGCTCCCGAAGAAAGCATTTTAAGACTGGAGTGAGTTCAATGACATACTTGCGGATTACGCTGCGAAGAATTACTTGTGTTACCGGGTTAGAAGCTCGGAAACCCGGGCCAAATACAACAGGTACACGAACGCATTGTTTGATTATATTTGTGTTTTCTAACATTATGTCTGGGTGTATGCTTTATTGTAGCCGACATGGAAATTACATAGCTTCCATTAAAGATGACGCACAGTTTTTAGCGGATGTGTTGCACTCACGGATCGTCACAAGAATCACGCGGCGAAGGCTGCCGTGACTACGATTCACGCTTTACCGGATGTGAAGCAGGCTTCCTCGTACGGGCTGAGCGTGTCGTCGTGTATGGTCAAGCCACATGGCAAGTGATCGTTGCACTAGGAACGGAGGTGCTCAAATTAGTTGCCCGGTTTCTAAGCGATATTAATATCTGCTTGATTCACAGATATCGCTACACAACCACAAGACCAATAAAACCATCTACGACTCGTATCGTGGGGCGAAGTCAACGCCACTCACCCCGCAAGTCCGCCAAGAACTTGGTCTTTTAACCAAGATGAAGTCGCGCACGGCTGATACTAATCGATACATGTCGGAAACGATCGATGGGTGCTACTATTACGCCAATTGCAGTTGTATTTTTCCTGACGTATTTTGTCAATTTGACATTAATTTCAAAATGAGTTCGGATACAGATATGGTGCTTACGCCTCACTGACGAGAAATCTTGTGTGACAAGTGCTCGGCGAATTGAGTACTGAGAGATCCAAGGCTAACACATGTACAGTTTTGCCGACGAGGATAGTGGTAATGATGTACTTCTCGTTCAGGATCAGCTTGAGATTTCTTGTATCTTTGCGATGCAACCGCCAATTCAGAAGACATCTTCGAAAACTGGTCATGGATTGGACACATGGAACCAGCAATCTGGGGTATATTTTATGTATGTTCAATTTAGCTGTTTTTACTTCGGATGAAGATACCATAAAAAATTAACGAAATGTGTCGCCGTTCTATAGGCAGTCTTGTTGCAGCTCAGCAACGGGAAGAGGAATTCCAGCAACTAGTTTCCTTGCTCTTGTAGAAGGCAGCTACGATGAAGTACATCATCGAGATTTTTTTCAAGCGGAACCCCAACTTGGTGCATTGTTCCAAGTGTCGTCATCGATAAGGACTTTGTCGAATGACGGGTTCTCGAGAAAGCTTTCCTGGACGCTAAGATACTTATGTGTCAATTTCACGCGTTGACGTATTGGCGGAAGGTCTGCCGACGTCCCAAATATGATCTAAAGATGGCTCAACGAGAAGCGATGGAGGCTGCCTTTGGGAAGTTGATTTATTAGTAATAACGTTTAATGTTGTGTTGCTTTCCGTGTTGCTTATTTTATTTATTACCAGTGTCTCCAGCAACTCACAGTCTAGGTTTGACACTGAAGTAGACGTGTTTACTCGGAGGTGTGAAGAAGAATGCCCCAAGCTGCTGGAGTATTCGAAAGAAAACCGGAAAACATGTAGTCCCGTGTGGGCAAACGACACTCGCTGAAAATTCGTCACCGCTGAGAATACGACGACCAACCGCATCGAGTCTAGTTATAAATCAGCTAAAGCTGCTCCTTGGGAAGAAACCGCAATTGACTTCACGATTAGTGACCTATTGACACACCAACGGTTATTCGACAGCAGATCGCTGCCATGCGCAAGCACCCGATTACCAATCGCCAACCAGTTCGGGTCCACAAGTTTCTTTCTCTTTTCGCAAAAGACATGTGCCACGACACGCTAATAAAAGTGCGGGGCCAGTGGGATTATTTAATGGAGATTTTGGCTCAGAACATATTTGCCAAACGACTAAGTGACGTGGGTCAATGGGAAATAAGTACGCCCGGAACCATTTTTCAGTATAACTACTTCGAGTGGAGCTGTTCCTGCCTATTCTATTTCACCTACCATCTACCTTGCCAGCACCTGATGTATATCGCCGCGCAAAACCACTAGTTTGCAAAAATACCGGCTTCGAGTATTCGGCAACGTTGGAGCATGACAGAAATAATGAAGCTTGA